CGTTTCCCCGCTAGCTCCAGCCTAGGGATGGCGGCCACCAGGTCTACTAGCCTAGAGAACCCGCCCGAGGAAAATCTTGGACAGGGCTGCTCTACGCTACACTGTATGGATGCTCCTACAGGTACCGACGACGCCTGTTGGGCGGGCCGGGCGCCGTGGATGGAAAGGGGATGCGACATCTTGTGCTCAATAACACTGTCACCAATGGATGTCATTCTTCCCGTCAGTCCAGTCAGCTCTTTGTAAAAGGGATGTCCGGCATCGAGCTGGGCCGGCTCCCTGTCGCATAATAGCATAGCATTGGAGCTGGCTTGCCGCCTCAACAAGTCAAAGGGGGGTGGTCAAGGGTGACCGCGATGACCGACAAACCTCGCTCCCTTGGTTCCTGGCATTTCTCTTTTCGCTTGCGCCCAAAGCGCACACCTTAGCCGCTCCTTAGCCTCCGTTGTTGTCCCACTCTGAAGACAATCCACGCTAGAACAGGTACCAGCACGCCTGCTCCACTTCTTGCTTCTGTTGTTGATCTTTGCTTCCCTCCTGGGACCAGAACTTCTCTAGGTCAATGGCCTCTACCACGCACTATTTCTGGCCTGCCCCCAAAACCTGCGAGCCATCTATCTTCGGGACTTGCGAAATCCGTGATTTACTCAGTGACATTGCAGCTCGATCTGGTCGAGAACTGAAACGTATACTGCATCTGATCTTCCATTTGCAGAAAAGGCGAGATGGTAGGGTATATCGCCCGATGTTGTACTTGTAGGAAATGCCTAGAAAGCATGTACGCGAAAAATGGGAGTGCGATTATTGTCGACTACCATTACTAGGGACTCGGAACTCCACAGCGAGCGCCCTTACCCAGAATGTGTATGTCCTCCGTGCTGGGTACTCGTACAGAGTACGCAGTAGGTATTGCCCTCGCGACTCAGCATCTTCCTTTTGCGCGAGTGACAACCCTGACACCACGGTAATATTCATCAGTATGGTAGGCAAAATGCTGGCCCCATCAACCCGACCAGGTTGCTATTTTGATCGTATAAGAGGGGTTATCGCGCGAGGGGAGATGTCCATCCCCACGGTCAGCGTCTCGCTGAGGCATGCAATGGTGAACATTGAAGTCGCGAATTCATGAAACGAGTGGCTGAGAACGGCGGATCGCTTTGGACGAATAGTCTCGCGTTGGCGGTTGTCTTGGGCTGCTGTCTGCCCACCCTGGCGCGAAAAGCCACTCAGCCAACGGCTTGATGATTCAGAAACACATCTCAAACAGGCGCGGCACAGCGTCGTGGAGCCTGTATGCAGAGATGCCGGCATCCGCTTTGAGGGATTCTATCATTGCCCATGTTGACGCTGGGATCGGTGTGCTTCTGGCCTCTGAGTGTCCACAACTGCAACCCTCTCGCAGGCAAAAATTCAGAACGAACCCCCGATGTAAGATCGGGGTCCCATGAGTTTGATTCTCCCATGTCTGCCCCCTTTTCCTTGATATGACCAATGGCGAGATGATCTTCAATAGCTTGACACAAGGAAACCCCCCACCCCAAAAGCGTGATTGACGGCACACATTTATTGGCCAAACGCGGTTCATGCAGGTGCCGCTTCTTCGCATACTGCTTGAACCGGCCGATGACACTGCGGAGATACGAATAGGAAGTAGGTCAAGGTTGATTGAGGGCGTGAGGATGGCGGCGACATAGCGTCCCGGAAGCTCGCCCTTCGTAAATCCTGTCCAGCCTCGACAGCATCGGGTACGAAGGCCTAGAAGGCCTGGCAGGAGGGGAGAAGGCAGGGGAAACATGTAAAATTTTCATCTTTCTAGTGTGATTGGTGTGTTCGCTGCTGGATTGAGTTGACGGCGTGCACAGGCACAAGCAAATCGCAGTGCAGCCCACGTGACGGAGCAGGCGCAGGCGCCCGCACCCGACGCCCTTTTCCCAACTTCCCATCACCCAACACCAATTACTGGGTACGCCAGCTCGCCGGAGTCACATGTCTCCACAATCCTTCTCCTATTATCTTCGACAATGGTTGGTCCCTACTGTAGGAGGTATGTACCACGCACCAAGCACCCTCTCGTTCTCTCCTATTCTTGGTCGGATGCAATTGATCGCGATGGACCTCATAACTGGCACTAATAGCCATCGCTCGGCCTCGCCTGACCAACAGTTTCAGATCAGAGCTTTGCGAATGGAGGGGCAGGCCAAAAATTGGACCGCGATGCCCTGTCGAGGCCTTCTTTTCTCTGTTCGGCTTTCGCCGCCTCCAGGATCTCGACGCACGCGCCACGGCCCCTAAAAATGGCCGATGGTTCTATGTTTCAGGTTCTGTGCGACTTGACAGCCACATTAGTCACAAAAGGGTGAACTTTGGACCCTGAGCGAGGCCAACCCCAATGTCACTGGCTTCCAGGCATTGTTTTTTCTCCGTGGCCGAACCGATTGGGTCGTCCATCACCTCCAAGCCTCAGCATGCACATCATCACTGCAGACGTCCATGCTTTCTTTGGACACTCGTTCTGCAACTTTCTCAAGCCCCCCAACTTTGTCAGTCGATCGATTTCTGCACAGCATCTGTGGAAAATTACAACGTACGTGATTCGTGGCACTTCACGAAGCTCGGGAAATAAGCCTTCCATCAATCTCATGGGGCTCGTTGACTCCTGAAACACGGCTCCTTGCCTGCGCCTGTGGTTGCGGCCAACGGCCAAAAGTGGCGTAATCGCAACGAACATGGCTAATCCCGGCAAATCTCCGACAAAAGATCACTCCCTTTACAGAGGGATGGACACGAGCCGCAAGGAGCCCGAAACCGTCGACGAGAGTTATCACGACTTCTTCCGGATTCGATGCTTGCCGTCCACCACGCATTCAGGCCGGAACCCACGTCATGGTGAAACAGTCGAGAGAGAGGAGACATCGGTTGCTCGTCCGGCACGCCCGCCATGATGAGTCCAAGCTTTCGAACTTATAGAGCCAAGGCTGAAGCAATGGTGTAACGCGGAAACCTGTGCTTGACCTAAAGCGCGGGGAGCAGAGCAAAGAAAAACCAACTTGTTTCAGATTGTGCTGTTAGCCCATTGGAAGAGCTCGCCTCGCTGGGCAATGTCACCTTCGTCCATGACAAATATCCCCTTTGCCTTCTTATTCTCCAATGACAGACGAGCGGAAAAAAGAAAATGCTGCGGTCTACTTAGCCAGAGCGCGAGGTGATCACAACGGAGATCCTGGTAAGGTGCAAACCAAGTTTGCCTTTGTGCCGATGCGGCTGGAACAGGAAAGAGGTGGCTTAGCGGGAAGAGAAGACTTTGAAAAATTCTCAGTCACATTCATTACTATCGCCGTCGTGACTTTCCACGAAGTCGAGAAAGACCTTGTCCTTGGATATCAAGGACATCTTTCTTACTAAGAGTCAGAGTGCCACCTCGGAATTTGCCCACGGCAGGGACATCAACGCCGCGTTCTCTTCGGGCGTCTTTAGACCTAGACTTCCCCGAGGCTTTCTCCAGGATGATACCATTCTCTTGGGCCTCTTTTCTCCGGCTTGCCTCCCGCTCTGCCGCCTTCGCAAGGATGCCCCTTCTATGGACTAATGGCATCTTCTCCTGGTGAAACATGGACCCTTTTGAGCCCAAGGCCTGCATGCGCATGTCTACCACCTTATGCCGGTGGGTTCCCAGTGAGGATGATGCCTTTGCCTGCTCGAGGAGATGGGATTCTTTCAGGAGTCGTTGAAGATCAAGATCGTGTTTGAGATTCAAGGCCTTAGCGGCGCAGTCTGCGTCAGCCTGCTGAGCGGAACCTCTAGTAGCCGTACTCTCGATCTCTTTCGGTGGTCGAGAACTCTGTCGTAGCAGGTCAGTGCAAAGCAGCCACCGAGTCCGGTGGCCAGTTACTCACCATGAATGTCTTGTACTGTTGGCGATGTAGTCCAGCCTCCTCTGGCAAGTCCCCCCCTGTGCGATGTTCCACAATCTCAACCGCTTCATTCTCGTGCTCCGGATCAGAGAGACCTTCCCACTCCGACTCTTCTGCAGGACACTCAACCTCTCCTTCATCTTCTTGCAGAGGTAGTGGCATAGTCCCAGTTTCTGGTAAAGGTTCGAAGGTAGACTCGAAATATTTGCGAAATATATCTCGATCGGCGGCGAAGGGCATTGCGACGGCCTGGTCGTTGTCGAGACTGTGCGCCCTCTGCCGAGTTGCGACTGCGACTTCTCGCTTTCGCTTCCCCAACATTGTTGAACAAACCACAGCTCACAGGTGTTGCTTCTCGTTGGCTCAAGCAATCATGTCTCGACGTCCTTTGGGCAGACGCCACTGTCAGTATTGCATTGTTGACGGGATGGTCTAAAATTCAGAAGCAACTTAACGTCGGTTCAAGGGTTTCCAAAGCAGCGAGATTTCTTGAATTTTGATTGGCGGGATTAGTCGTGTGCCGCAGCCCTTCTCGAGAAATACCACCACGCGCAAGTACGCAGTATCAATTCGCTCAACCTGGCTTCGAAGGTACAGAGAACTACCAACTTTAACTTTGACGACGGATAAGTTTGAGCGCAGCGTCATGACTGATAACTATTGGGCCGTGCAGATTCCGCACTGAGGTGTCGAGCAAGCCCAAACCCGTCGCGCAGTTCGAGCGGCCCTTCCAGGGGAGGCACAAGGACCGAGTAACCCAACTTGATCTAACTCCTTGAGCTCGTGAGCAAGTTGAAAGCTCAAGAGACGAAAATTTTGATCTTGCAGCTAGAATGAGGATGTCAGTAAAAGCCACATCGACGACAGCGTTGTGCTCTCCTCTAACCTTTAACTGTAGATGTGTTCGACTGTCGTAGAAAATTTATGCATCTCCTCCCCCCACTTCTACCTCCAAAAAAAGGAGCTCAAGCAACGGAAAGTAATTTGATCCTTCCCACCCTTTCGCACGTAGAAGCTGTTCTTCAGCATTTGCGTTATAGACGACAAGACAATAGTTTATTGGTTTGTCTTCTTTCCAACCCCGCCACCATGACCCGCTTCCGGCCCTGCATCGACCTCCACGCCGGCCAGGTCAAACAGATTGTCGGCGGGACACTGAGCGCGCAAGAGTCCGAGCTGAAGACAAACTACATTTCGCAGCATCCAGCGGAGTACTTTGCACATCTCTATCGCGATGCGAGTCTCTTGGGCGCCCATATTATCATGCTTGGACCGGGGAACGAACAGGCTGCGAAGGAAGCTCTAGCCATCTGGCCCGGGCGTCTCCAGGTTGGTGGTGGCATCACGGACGCCAATGCAAAGGAATGGATTGAAGCCGGCGCTGAAAAGGTAAGCAGGAGAGACCCTTTTGCCGTCATCGTCATCGTCTTCATCCTCGCCTTTGTTCCTGACCGGGGGTCACCCTCCATCCGGGTGATTTCCACGCTCCAGAGATCGTGGCTTGTCTAAGGTTAAAAACAAGCAGTAGGTCATTATCACTTCGTTCCTATTCCCCCACGGCCGCTTTTCTCTGGAGCGGTTGAAATCCGTGCTCGCGGTGCTGGCGGACGATAGGGACAAGCTCGTCATCGACCTCAGCTGTAGGAGGAGCGGCAATACATGGTTCGTGGCCATGAACAAGTGGCAGACTATCACCGAGATGGAAATCACCAAAGGTATGTATGTATGTTTGCACGTAATGTGCTGTCCCGACCACACGATCTTTCTTTCGATACGCTTACGCAAAGAACGACAGAGAGCATCAAGATGCTCGAACCGTATTGTTCGGAATTCCTCATCCACGCAGCCGACAACGAAGGCCTCCAGCAAGGCATCGATACAGAGCTCGTCAAGAGGTTGTCTGACTGGTGCACCATCCCGGTGACATACGCCGGGGGCGCCCGCGCCGTGGGAGATCTTGACCTTGTGAAGCAATGCAGCCAAGGCAAGGTCGACCTGACCATCGGCAGTGCTTTGGATATTTTTGGCGGCAGCGGAGCCAGATTTGAAGAATGTATCAGATGGAATGCAGAGAATGCGTAAACCTGTCAGGGCCCCGGAGCTTCTTCCATCGCGGCATCGAAGCCGTCGCCATTGTAGTTCGTCGGACTGTTCATAGCCTCCTGAACGGCTTCTTCTCCTTCAACGTCCCTCTCGCCAGTCACTGTCTCATCAGCATCAACTACTTCGCCATCCAGATCCATGGCCTTTACCACCGCGTCGTTCCTCCGATACCCTAGCATAGCCACCAACGTCCGGCCTTCTCCTTCTCTTTCTACCTCATATCCAGTTGTCGATTCTTCAACAAATTCGCCCCTGTCCTTTACCCTCTGCCTCGCTCCCCATTTACACCAACCGGCAGCATTTTTCTTTCCTCTCAGTCTCCACTTTCGGTCCTGATGCATCCTCTCGCTCGCCTGCCTGATCTCTCCCAGCAGGACGTCCCAATCCATCGTCTGCGCAGGGGATGCGCCTGCTCCTCTGAGTGTGGCCATGCTGTCAGATGGTGCTGCTGATGACAAGACTTGGTGTATCTGCGACCGTAATGTGCTCGGAACAGCACCATTGTGTTTCAACCACGTTCGCAGTATGGCCTTCGCTCGATAGGTGGGAATTTGCAAAATCTCGTTCCTCTCCCTCCACAGCATCATGCTCGCACATAGAACCTTGAAGTCCGGCTACGGGAATGCGCGAATATAGTTAGCATGCGAACATTCCAGGCAAGTCGATGGGCTGTCAAAACCACACCGGTGGCAAAGCAAAGGTCATTCAGGCAAGGGAGAGGAAAAGCACTCACATTCACCGCCGCAGTTGCTATGCGTGCGATCCACCAATCGAAATGGAAGCCTATGGTCTGTGGAAGTTTGGCACGCTTCACGACATGATGTCGTGACTTGATGCTGGCAGCGGTGGCGGTATCTTCATCCGATTCATCGTCTCCATCCACATCTACTCCCACAATCTCTTGCTTCTTATTCCCTGAAAGGGGCCTCCCTTTCACAACGCCATGACTGTCGCTTACCTCGGCGGTGGACTCCAGGCCGGAAGAGAGGCTTTGACGCAGAGGCACGACCGAATGCGGGAGGTGAGATGATGGACCTGAGGGAAAGGAACCACGTGTGACATCTGCCGGACCTGGAGTGCGTGTAGCAGGCGAGGAAGAGAACGCTTCGAGAATGGTCTCATTTGAGGAGGAGTAGACACGTGGTCGCTGCATGGTTGTTCTGGCTTTGTCTCAAGTGACGATAAACATCTTGGACGAAGGACCCTGGTGATGTACAGTTGTGACCATCTGTCATGAACGATTTCGCTGTGTGCTAATAGTGATGCAACGCGAGTCCAGAACCGTAGCGGCAGTAAAAGTAAAGCCATGGTCACGATGGTGTGATTTCACTCGTATATCCCTAGTGGAAATATTCACTTCACATCAGCCTCTTGATTTTGCCTATCTCTCTCTCTGCGCGACCTTTTCATGCCGTGTCTCTTCGTTCGTTGTTGCTAGGATCGAAAGGTTATTTGGCGTGACATTTAAGCGTGTGAGAGTCACAAGCAGGGGGTTTGGTGGCCATTGGCCAACTGCTAGCTGAGAAGGTGAAAAATTCACGGATGGGTGGATTGGATCTAGTTTTGAATCGCAACCACAACAAAGGAAAGGATTGGAACAGAATTCGAGTTAGAGTATCATTCAATTCAAGCTACTTAATCAGGTGCCACCTGCTCTCCTGAGCATGTGTCATAAGAAGTACATTATCATCGCCCAAAGCTCATGAACCCCTGCTAGTGCTCTACCAGGTAGTGCATGTTTATCAATCGACCACTTTGACCGTGAGGTAAGAAAGTATTCTTAGGATCTGTTGCAGGAAGGCATCGTAGGTCGAGATGTAAGTTTGGTGATGAACGATTAGTGGGTAGCAGCTTGCTTGTTGCCCTCGGCAGATGCCTATACGACTTGTTAAGACATAGATATAAAAGGTGGCGATCAAAGGAGGGACATACGGAGTGCTTGCTCTCGTCGAGCTTGTCGCTAGCGGCGTCCTTTGCTGCAGAAGCACGGGTTCCGAGAGAGGCGTCAGAATCCTTGGCGACGTTCTTGTTGGCCTCCTTGGAAGCACCAGAGGTAGCCTCTTGGACCTTGTCACCGACGTAGCTGTGAGGGGACAAGTCAGTATGGCGAGAGACAACGAGGTCATAGAAAGGCAGCAACATACTTGGCAGCGTTCTTGACGGACTCCATTGTGGATGAAGATGTGATTTGGATTTTGAATTGGATTGGATTGGAATTGGATTGGAAGATTTTGGATGATTGTGAGAAGAATAGTGAACTGGAAAGGAAAAGGAGGAAGAGGGACATACTTATAGTCTGTCAGATCTGAGCGCGGAGTCCCTGCCTGGTGGCCATTCCTTGTGCCACATTGCGTTTGCCTGATTTGCCCCGCGTTGCGACTTCACTTCGCCCTCACTTTCACATTTCCTTGTCGGTCTCTCCTTTGGAAACGCCCTGGCACCCACTACGGGTCCAGTCATATTGCGTATTGCTCGCGGCCCCCCCTTCGTGAGAGGAACCCGCGCCCGAGGATTCAGCCAGATCCAAGCTGAGGTCATTCGCGATGCTATGCTCTGGCGGCTCTAGTGGCTCTTTGAGAAGCTATGACGTTCTTTGATCTGATGACACACACAGCACCGAGGGAGGAGTGGGAGCTGAACAAAGAGTCAATAGAAGGTGGGGGAAAGAGTCCAAAATGTGTAGGAGTGACGACATGCTAAAGGGAGATCCACCAATCAGTGCAGGGAGATCGCGGTGATCTGTGGCTGATCGTGGCTTGGTCCGTGGCGTTTCGATCTCAATTGGCCTGCGTCATTCGATTCCAGGAATTTAGATCCGGCCACCGATGAAGTCCCTTGGCTTCGTTCCTTTCTATCATGACGTATGTACGACCAGAGAGCAGAAGAAGCTTCAAGGTTGGCCTTGTGCCATGCGGGACCCGGGTTTTCCCTTGCTTGCAGCATGCCATGCACCATGAGCAACCACCACGACCATCACCACCAGTCACCATGAAAGCTAGCAACAAACGCAAACACCAAACCTCGCCATCCCTCCTCCAAAGAAGTGGGATTGCATAGCCTCCGAAATGGATCTCCTGGTGGCCCATGTTAGACTATTGTAGAGGGGATTGTCATCCGCTGCATGTGAAAGGACAATCAACTTTCCCATGTGCAAGGCATGTGCTTCACGATCCTTTCCCATCGCGTCCTGGGCTCTGCGTTGTGATCCTCAGGTAATACCTATGAAGAAGCACCACCACGTGTCAAAGTCTAGCCTAGCTTAGATAGAGGAGAGCAATGGACGCACCCGTCGGGGTCGATTAGTCGGAAATCCTTCAGTCCCCAAGGCTGCCGTTGGATGTCAGCGTCCAACCTCCACCCCTTGGCCACAATGATATTTCTTTCCTTCTCCAAGTCATCCACTTCGATCACTATTTCGACTCCTTTGTTCGGGCGGCGGTAGCTTTCCTTCTGCTCAAGGCTCTCTGGGGAGCGCGTCTCGATGGCGCCGATGAAAATGGCATCGCGTCCAAGATAAGCGTAGTCGCCATCGCGCTTGATCAAGCTGAAGTTGAGAATGTTGGAGTAGAAATCAATCATTCGCTGGAGGTTGGAGGGGAATATTTCGATCCGCAATGAGGCTGGCATCGTGAGTAGAATACCACATAAAAGCCAAGCGTTTGCTTGTCCAATGCCTCTCTGACCATGTCCCACAGAGTATCGAGAGCATCGGACCACATTATTTATACTTTACAGTTAATGATATAGAGGAATCTCTTGGGACTCGTAATCGCCAGGACTCAGCTTTCTTGTGGGCATTGGTTCTGCAACTTCTGGTCCCTCCATGTCCACCACTTTGTCAGCGACGAGGTCTGGAGCTCAATCGATCTTCAGCTAGTGGCTTTCCTTGGCGTCAATTGACTCAGCATATTGAGATCGGCCAATCACATGATGCTTCTATGTGTTCTTCCTGATGGAGGTCATCGAGGCTTAACCAAGTCTTTCTGTGGCCGCGACGGTGACCGGTACAGAAAATGCATCGACTCGATCGCGAAACTCATTATTTTGACTGTCATGATATCAGGGTCCGTATATATCAACCAGACTCGGCTATGTCCCACCATGGCTATCTCTCCATTCAACATTGTGGCTTTGGATAAGATTGCTCAAATGCCCCTTTCGGCCAAGAACTCTAGGATCAGCTTTGCCACCTCTTCCGTGTGACTCTCGACCAAGAAGTGCCCACCATCCAACAACACGAGTTTCAGCTCTTTCACATCCCTCCTAAAGGCTTCCGCTCCAGCCGGCGGGAAGATGGTATCGTTTTTGCCCCACACAGCTAGCACAGGAACACCGCTCTCTCGCAAATACGCCTGGAACTTGGGATATAGGGCGACATTAGTAGCATAGTCCCTAAATAGGTCGAGTTGAATCTGCTTGTTCCCTGGGCGGCACATAAGGGCGTAATCGAGATGGTATGCGGCTGGGTCGTCAATCTTTTCAGCCTCGGGCTCACCATTCAGATACTGGCCCTTCGTAGCATCAAGGGACAAGACCGCACCCGAAATCATATCACGCAATTGTTTCTCCTCATCTGACCCCGCGTCTGAAGCCCACAGTTGTCGTAAGGGATCCCAGAACGACGACAAGCCTTCCACGTAGGCGTTACCGTTCTGGGAGATGATGGCAGTAATGGCCTCTGGTCGCTCGAGTGCAAGACGGAACCCTGTGGGAGCACCATAGTCAAACACGTAAACGGCGAATTTCTGGATCTTGAGAATGTCAAGAAAGGAGCCGATGGTGGTCGCAAGATTGGCAAAGGTATATTGGAATTTCAGGGAGGCAGGAATTTCAGTGAAGCCAAAGCCTGGTAGGTCCGGGGCTACAACATGGTATTTCTCGGAGAGAATAGGAATCAAGTTTCGATATTGGTTTGAGGAGGAAGGGAAACCATGTAGCAGGAGGATGGTGTGGTTGTCCGAGGAGCCAGCTTCGCGATAGAAGACTTTGATACCGTTGGGCAGAGTCGCGTACATTTTTGACAAGATGTAAGGGTCGAAGGTGAGCAGGTGTCGAGAAAGTGCTGTTGAACGATTTCTGCGCTGAGAAGTGATTTGGATCTTTGTTTCTCAATATCAACGGAGCAACTGAAAGATATACCGGGATACCATGGAATACCTCACCTCCATATATACCTAGTCTGCTCCCGGAACAATGGAAAGAACCAAACACTTCATTGCAGCTTATTTCGAGCTGTAGCTTACCTAGTAGCGCCTTGACGAGCTTCAAACGTCCAGCTCAGACCATGGTAAACAGACCTATGGAGACGTCATCTGACAAACAGAGCTGCATCAAGGTTCGAGGTACGGTTTGGGAGGAGTCCGCCGAGAGATGCGCTATGACATTCCCTGCATTGGAAGCCACTCAGAAACTGATCCCCGAGAGCCTGATAAAGAAATTGAGAAGAGCGATTGGACGGCCTAGATTCCATCATCCTGAATGTCCACGGAGAAGATGGAGAGGATGTAGAGGATACGAGGTCGGAAGAGCAGCGACAAGTCAGCGGCAGGCTGCTGCCGCTTGAAGATGGCTCGATGGGTGTCGGCGTGTTAAAAGTGGCGGGAAATTCGCGAGAATAGCATAATCAGAGACACTACTGGGCACCGAGTAGATACAGAGCTCGAGATTAGCAGGAGAGCAAGGGCTGCTTGCCGTTTCGGGAAGACAAAACCTGCCGTTAGTGGCCAAGTATCTCGCTCCTTTTCGTCTGCTGAACCAAATCCACCCTCGCCACCTCCAACGTCTTGCTCTTTTTCTGTCCTTTCCCATTACCAGCATCGAAATCCCGGCACCTTGGTTTCATGCTTCCACATCATCTCGCCAACATGGCTCCATAAAGACGCACGCGGCGTCCTCTCCGCCACGTCTGAACGAATACATTTCCTCTTTTGTCACAACTAGGTCCGAGTTGGGTATTTCATGAAACAGCAGACCTCTTTCTCGTGCTGCTTTCACTTGAGGCCCACTTGCTGCTTTTTATGGCCTTGAGCCCCTGTCCAAACTATGGAGCAGACCAAGCAGACCTGGACTGATACCACTTCATTCTGAGGCTGTTCCCCTGAGCCTAAACCGAAGGCAGGCATAGCCCGACAGGCATCAACCCCAGGGGCGAGGAGAAAGGAGCACAGTTACCTGATCATCATTACAATTGTCAATAAGTCTCTGCCTCGCCACCGCACGAGTCGCTCGAGAGTATGGATTAGGCAACATTGGTCCCTAAAAGGACAACTTCACGACCCGACAGACTAGTTTGTCCTGCCGCTTTTCATTCCAGGCCTGCTTGCTGCTTTCATGGTTTCTACAAATGGTGGAGTAAACAGATGCCGGCACGGCGCTGCTCACGCCCCATGCGCGGCGACGACGCAGGGAATGGATGGCGCCATGCGCATTTGAAGGAATGAGAAGAAGCGATGCGAAAGGAGATCCTCTTCCAACGAATCCCTGACACTGACTGTTGGCGACAATCAATTCGCTCGAGCTTCCATGGAGCCGGTTTTGTTGAAATGAGGCTTGAATAGACCAATTAACCAGCGGAATGATTCTTGCCGTTTTCATTTGACGAATGCTTGCTGCCTTGCATGGCGCCCAGAATGTGACACTCTCGTGGGTCAGCTAGTTGCTCGTGGCTGCAGAGCAGGTTTCCCATTCATTAAGTTGTAAATGAAGTGAAAAGAAGAACCACCAAACGAAAGGACCAATTGATGTGAAGAGGCGACGCTATAGAAAAAGCAAACAGGAGCTAGAAGAGCAAAGCACGGATTTCCCTTTGCCGATACTGTTGCCGCCCTCTGAGCACGGTCTTTCTGGGCTTTTGGTGCCTTGAAAGGTAATGCATGGTTGGGATGACCGAGAAACAAATGACCAGAGAGCAGAGAAAGCAAATACAGCACTGCTTAGAAAGATGTCCAAAGCGACGAATCGTATCTGCGTGTGTCCTTTTCATTCCCCAAATTCATTTCCCCCCACACGTTCCTTTGGCCTTTGGAGTCAATTCTATATGACCCCTAGCAGTGGTCATCGACAGATCAGCCTTTTCTTATCAATCCTCAGCCACTCATCGCATTCTCTGCATGCATCTGGCTCCCCCAATACATTTACAATTTATGTCTCTTCTGTCCGCTCGCAATCTTCTTGAATTCTTCCTGTGGGGCTCCCTTGACAAACCTCAGCATGCCCTCCATAACCTCCCTAACTCCTTGAGCCTCAAGACCTTCCAGGTACGGCCGCCTGATCAACTCCTTGATCTTCAGAATGGACTCTTGGTTGAGGTGTTCGCCCAATTTGTCATCAATTTCCGCCAACACCTGTTTCAGGAAACCTTCGGAGTCGTTCTGGTCTTTTCCAGAGAAGACCTTGTTGACGAAGCCACATGCCACTAGCTCGTCACATGGGATCTTGCGGGACATGATGAGCGCTTCGTTGGCCTTTGCCAAGCCCATGCGTTGCACGAGTCCAGCGCTCGCGCCGCCCTCTGCAACCAGTCCGAGCGAGGAAAAAGGCGTCAACAGGAATGTGTGCGGAGCGGCGTAAATAAAGTCGCAGAAGCCCAACAAGGCAGCGGACAGCCCCACTGTCGGCCCGTTCAAGGCAGCGACTAGGATCTTCGGGTGGGTATAGAAGGAGCGTGTAATGTCCAAGTTGTTGCTCACAAACCCCTTCAAAATATCATTACGTGCAGCGTCCTTGTCCAAGCCCGGTCCAACACCGGGTCTGGTGGAATTGACATTTGCACCGGCCGAAAAGAATCGGCCGGTGCCAGTGAGTACGGTCACGCTGATATCGGGGTTCTCGGCGATGTCCCGGAGCAGGCAGGAAATACGGTAGTAGTAGGGTTGTGACATGGCATTGAGTTTCTTGGGCTGATTGAGGGTGATGATGGCGACGCGCCCCTGCTGCCTGTAGAGAACTGCTTCTTCCGGGGAAGCCATGGTGACGGGAGGAAGTTATCGGTGGTCCGGAGAAGTGGGAAGTCTGGTGGTGGGAGGTCAAGCGGGAGTGAGCTCGTCCTCTTGAGATATGTGCCTGAAGCTGACCAAAGAGGGTGAGTACGCAGATACTTAGTGAATGGTCCTGGGGGCAGCCTTTTCCACTCTCCAAGAAATGTTGGGGTAGTACAGAGTATATAAAATGTTTCAACTGACCCTCGGCATTGGCAAGGAAGCTCTCGCCTCGAACGGCAAACGCGCACAGCACCGCAGACACTGGCAGCAGACTAATCATGTATGAGGGACGATTGGACGTTGAGCTGCGGTAAGCGGGATGCGCTGTGGAGTTTCCAGGGCATCGCGGTTCCTGAGCTGGGGAAACAGCCGAGGTTCCCGGAACATCGACCGTCTCCCTTCTACGGGAGCACACACTCTCTTCTCCCACGGCTACTCTGGTCAAATCGAAAAGGACATTGGGTGCCAGCTGCGTGTTTGCTCTACTCAGCGCAGGGAATCGAGACAATGTGAAGGATTATGTGTTGCATTCACCAAGCCATGTCCAGCTACATAGGACAGGCCACGCAGATGCTATGAGGGTTGGCAAAAACCATTTTCCGCGGTGCTTATCTCCTAGCACAATAAGACCCTCCTCCCCAAACATTCTCCAGAGGTCGAAAATAGGAACCCCCCCTTTCCCAAGTCCTGATACGAGCGGGCAACTCTGACATCTCATTATCTCTCGGCGCGTCCCTACAGGGAAGTGGGACAGGCTCGGTCGGGATCGTCGAAAGGGCGGGCTGCATGACTGACAAGGGGAGGAAGGTCGACCGCAACAGCCAGCATATCTAACTGAGGCTTTAACAGTAATTTCCGCCCGGTTGTGGTGAACATGTGGCGACTTGCGTCCACTCTTTTCCCCCCCTAGTTCTTTGGCGATGCATCCCGAGCCCAGGGTAGATTTGCATGAGCATGACGATCCTTCGTACATAAGGGAAAGGATTGCTCGTAGCGGGGGGGGCAGAGGCACAAAGAATGCCGAGGCTTTGTGGCCGGCGTGGTATAGCAGCAGCAGTAGCAGCAGCAGCAGCAGAAGAAGACAGGAGATACCAGAAAATCGAGTTCTCAATGCAACGAGGTGTCCTCGGTGTTTGGGATGTCCCAAGGCTGAGCCGAACCAGGTGACAAGGCTGAATATCGGGGAGAGGCAGGTTTGGCGAGAACCATCAACTTCTTTGCTATTGGCCGCTGATGTCGTGATCATTGAGGATGCGCAAGGGTGCCATCAACACCCTGCACTTTTACCCCCAAGTTGTCAAAGCCACCAGAATGGATGTCATCTTTCACAACTGTCTCCGGAGCGAGACCCCGCTCCTTCTTCAACCCTCTGTCACTTTGCAATCCTCTCCTGTTCGACATGGCGGTCCCTCGAGGAGCTCAGATTGCTGCCCGGCTCCTTAGTCGAGGCTCTAGGACTCTGACATCCAATTCCTCTTCACCAATAAGAGAGCACAAGTTCGATCGCCTTGCTCTGAAAACGAAACCCCAGCGGATTAGAAATGCATCTCTACATACACGAGCGGCTCACCGCGCTCAAGCCGCCACCGCCGAAGTGCAAGAAGAAGAGCCCTATGAGGGACCCGAGTCCACAAACCCAGCAATGTCCTTTCCCTGTCTTGATGCCCAAGAAATGAAGACAGCCGCCTTGCAAAACCGGTCTCTCCAATCAGGACCCGAACCTTCTTACACCACTGGCCAACACATGGTGTTCCACAGCTCCCAACCCATCCTCTTAGATTGGGGTGGGATATTACCCGAATTCAACATCGCTCATGAAACTTGGGGCACATTGAACGCGGACAAGAGCAATGCAATCCTGCTACATACTGGACTATCGGCGTCGAGCCACGCACACAGCACCGAAGCAAACCCGAAACCGGGGTGGTGGGAAAAGTTCATCGGGCCTGGTGCTCCTTTAGATACCAACAAATACTTTGTGATATGCACGAACGTGATAGGCGGCTGCTATGGCTCGACTGGACCCTCTTCGATTGATCCCTCTGATGGTCGCCGATATGCTACTCGATTTCCCATCTTGACAATGGACGACATGGTCCGAGCGCAAGCGCGGCTTCTGGACGGGCTACATATCGACAAGCTCTACGCCAGCGTTGGTGCAAGTATGGGTGGGATGCAAAGCCTCGCCTTCGGTGTCCATTTCCCGGACCGGGTGGGCAAAATCGTCAGCATTTCGGGTTGTGCAAGGAGCCACCCGTATAGTATCGCCATGCGGCACACTCAACGACAAGTGTTGATGATGGACCCCAACTGGAATAGAGGCTTTTACTACGACAGCGGTATTCCGCCCCATACGGGAATGAAGCTTGCTCGCGAAATTGCCACGGTGACATATCGCAGCGGGCCCGAGTGGGAGAATAGGTTTGGGAGACAACGAGCCGACCCCAGCAAACAGCCCGCTCTCTGTCCGGATTTCTTAATTGAGACGTACTTGGACCATGCTGGTGAGAAGTTTTCCTTGGAATACGATCCAAATTCTCTGCTTTATGTTAGCAAGGCGATGGACCTGTTCGACCTTGGATGGGCTCATCAAGAAAGCACTAGGATCCGGAGGCAAAAGAATCAGGAGAAGTTGTTGAACTTCCGTGGGGGAGCCAATATTCGCTATGATCCGTCATGCAGTTTGATGCTGCCATCGAAGAATTACGAAGAACAAGTCTCTACGGCGCCAATGGACGAGGTTGTTGCGCCGGGCCATAAAGCCGGGCCGCCGCGAGACCTCGTCCAGGGAATGGCGCCCTTGAGCGATCACCCCGTTTTGGTGATGGGTGTGGCGAGCGATATACTCTTCCCGGCGTGGCAGCAAAGGGAGATTGCCGAGACGTTGCAAGCTACGGGAAACAATCAAGTTACGCATGTGGAGCTCGGCGAGGATATTAGTCTGTTCGGGCACGACACATTTCTCTTGGATTTAAAGTATATTGGCGGCAATCTTGGGAAGTTCCTGCAGTAAGAGGATATAACGTTCATAGCTGCACGATGCGATATATCGTCCCTTGGACCTTCGCCTTTTATGCTGAACATCCCTGTTCTATTTTCGAAGTACGGGCCTTCTAACCTAAGTCTCCGAATCCGAATACATTTGTGTTCCTCCAATATCGTCGCTGGGCGGCCACTCAACTCTTTGAATGCAAAATCAATCCTACAATCAGCCCATAGAGCCCCAGCACCTCACCAAAGATCAAAATGAGCACCATGCCCACAAATATCCTGCTTTGCTGCATATAACATCTCACACCCATGTCTCCCACAATCCCAATGGCATAGCCAGCTGCAAGGCCGGCGAGGCCGACACTTAATCCTGACGCCAAGTGCATGAATCCGGTAAATAAGCTGTAGTTCTGCTGAGGCGGAGGGCCCATATCTCCGGCGATGAGCACAGCGATGACGAGGGCGTAGACGGCGATGATTCCGGACATGACGACGGGGATGAGGGACTGACGTTCGCCGTTAGACAAGGCATGTGGAGGGGACGTTTGTGCATTCCAGACCTTCATGATCAAGTCAGGGCGGTAAGTTCCCACGCCAGCAATTCCGATGCCTGATTTTGCGGTGCCGTAGGCGGCTCCTATACCTGTATGAAACGCTCAGCATCTTTTGCAGTGTTCATCCTTTCTCCAAAACCATACAGCCAAAGATCATCTAGAGCGCATGGAGGGTTAGCAAGAGGGTTCGGGGTTGTTTGAGGCTAGTTCGACGTACAGCAGAAGCGATTCCGGCCTACATCGTTCTCCGTGTTAGTCTAGTTCGTCCAGCGAGGAACGGCGAGGAAGAGGAATTACCATGCCAAAGAAGGGAGCAAAGTTGGGCGTGAGTTCGCTGCCCGGTCCTTCTGTGATTGTCGTCATGGTGGGAGATTCAGCGACTGACGGGAAGGTGGTTAGAGAAGACGAAGAGCAGGATGTTGTAAGGTGCAATGGAAAAGGCGGGTGGGTTGTCGAGCAAGCGCCTTGTGGGCAGTTAACGTTCTGCCGACGATGAAGCAAGCTTGGAATAGGATGGGTGGGAAGGAACCTAACAAGTGTGTACTTAGTAGGTGATTGCGATGGGATGTGCCCTGCGGCTGGTGAGGCCCTCGGGCTGGCGGACCAGCAGGCCACCAGGCCCTGCGCTCTGTTGGCTCTGCCACTGCCCACCTGCCAGGAGGAAGAGCAGGCGCAACCAATGGCAACCCCAGTATCCGGCCTGGTTTAGCAGCAGTCGATCCTCGTCCAACTGCAGTCGTTTCTCCCCCATCCACCGTCCATCTTGACCATCCCATTCCCATTGCCATTCCCACCGCATGCTATACTGCCTCTATCCATTGAATCTGTTTACCATTCCTACGCATTAATTCGTACATACTCGTTCAACCATCACCATCTACTCTCTCTCCCTGCTGGCACGGTGAGAGCATGACGCGGAATCTGTGCGACCATCATCTGTAATCTCTGACCATCCCTCATCCACTTCGACCTCCTCCATTCGTGCAGCACAGCACACACACAGATCCCCAACTTGAATATCGACCACCCGCTGTCCTCCACGGTCAATCCATTGCATCACGCCGACACTACAATCCATTTCGTCGCCCTTCGTTCTGCCTTCGATATCGGCTCGACAATCGAAAAGTGTGGGGAGGGGGAAATAATTCAAAATCGCGAAGAGAGGAGAAAGAAAAAAAGCCCCCCTGCACACTACGGAGTACACCCTGCAGATTCTCAATCGCCACTACTCTCCATGCCCGCTCAATAACTGCACCTCTGCTACATCGCTACTTTCTCCATCCTCTGACCGAGCATGGCAGACTATGGTCTGCCCGACTCTCGCTATTATGGTGCAAGACCACCTCCTCCACAGCATGGAGGTCCCGCCGATCAAAGAGATACCGCCTTTCATAATATATTTGGAGGCGCTCCCCCTCCAGGGAGATCCCAGACAATGACAACACAGTCTGCGGCTGGCATGTACGATCGACTGCCCAGCATGAGTACCCAACAACAACAACACCACCAGCATACCATGTCCATGAGACAGGGCCCTCCTCCGCACATGCGTCAGATGCCTCAATCCTACGATCGATCCAACGGCATTGCTCCGGGCCAGCCTTATGCCAATGGCGCAAACACTACAAGAACAGCACCACATAATCCCGCGCCAATGTTCCCTGACCGTCGACCTTATCCTCCGCCTCAGCGGATAGATATGCGGCCCGGTGCCTCCTCTTCCATGTCCATGTCGACCTACGACCGGAAACCCGTTCCCAACCGAATGCCTCCTCCAGCATTGAATAATGATGGATATAGGTCGCGGTCGATGGTGAGGCCGGGGGAGCCGACCATAGGCTATCGCCCGCCACCCAGCAGCTTCCAGCAGGGTACCGCCAGTGCTTTTAGACAGCAGCCTTATGCAGGAATGGGTATGGGTGGTCCAAGGACAACAGCCCAGGGCAGACACATACCTGAAAGAGTCGATGGCGATAGATCCATGTCGATGGGGTCGTACGCTTTGGATCGAGATCATACCCAGCAGTTGACAAGTGGGAGAGTCGTTCCTCATCGTCGCCGAGAATCAGAATCAGACCCTTTCGCAGATCATTATGCGTCTCCTAATGGTTCCTTTAGCTCCACTAACTCTCCAGCATACGGCGTCACCCCGCGGTCACGGCGCCCTAGTGAGGGAAGTAACCCCCCCCGCGCTGTATCCGCCGCTTCTGCCGCCTCAGCTTCGTCTGACTTCACATCGACAACCACCATGAACGGCCCTCGCAACGACAGTATGATTAATAGGCCGACAGGCTCGGCTCATTCGTCAGCTAGCCAGACCACGACTGTTGTTCAAAGAAAGTCCCCCCTTGTCTATCCTGCCCTGCTGTCACGTGTTGCCAGCGCTTTTCAAGAGAGAATCGGCGTCGGCGACAGAAGCAAGAATGATCTCTCATACAAGAACGCCTTTACAGGTGCCGAGGCCGTCGACTTGATCGCCTACATCATCAAGACGACTGACAGAAACCTTGCTTTGCTTCTTGGACGAGCACTCGACGCCCAAAAGTTCTTTCACGACGTAACCTATGAGCATCGGCTGAGAGACGCCCCCGGAGAAGTCTACCAGTTCCGAGAGACAATGGGGGAAGAGGCGTCATCCAAAGATGTCAACGGTGTCTTCACCTTGCTGACAGAGTGTTACTCTCCAACTTGCACAAAAGATCACCTCTGCTACTCTATTGCGTGTCCTCGGCGGCTGGAACAGCAAGCGCGCCTGAATCTACGGCCCCAGCCCGGATTGCGACATTCCAACTCGAGAGGAAGCTTACACGGCGACGAGGACCAGGAGCAGAAGCTCTGGATTAACAGCGTTCCCAAGGAGGTTGCAGACAAGATTGATGACAGAGAAAAGAAGAGACAGGAAGTCATCTCAGAAATCATGTACACAGAGCGTGACTTTGTCAAGGATTTGGAATATCTCCGTGATTTCTGGATACGACCACTTCGTGGTGCCGGCAATGTCATGTCTCCCATCAAAGAAGAGAGGCGGGAGAAATTTGTCCGCACCGTCTTCGGTAACTGTCTGGAGGTCCTGGCAGTGAATGGCCGATTTGCGGAGGAGCTATCGAAGAGGCAGAAAGAGCAACATGTGGTACACTGTATTGGTGACATCTTCAACAGATTTGTCCCGCAGTTCGACCCTTTCATCAAGTATGGCGCGAATCAGATGTACGGCAAATACGAATTTGAGAAAGAGAAAGGCGCCAACCCAGCCTTTTCACGGTTCGTTGACGAAACTGAGCGCCTGAAAGAGTCCAGAAAGCTCGAGCTGAACGGTTACCTTACCAAACCAACGACGCGATTAGCCAGGTATCCACTCCTGTTGGACAATGTATTGAAGTATACCAAGGATGACAATCCGGACAAGAAGGAAATTCCCAAAGCCATTGGTCTTATCAAGGATTTCCTGGCCCGAGTCAACGCAGAAAGTGGCAAAGCTGAGAATCACTTCAATCTACTTCAGCTGAATTCACAGCTCAAGTGGAACGCAGGAGAGTACACGGATCTGAAACTTACTGAAGAGAACCGCGTTATTCTGACCAAGATGAGCTTCAAGAAGTCTCCCACCGACAGCGCAGAAGTTCAAGTGTACCTCTTTGATCATGCGGTTCTCATGTGCCGTGTCAAGAATGTCAACAAACGAGAGGAGCTTCGAGTATACAGGAAGCCGATTCCGCTAGAGCTCCTCGTTATTGCCGAGATGGATCAAGTTATTCCCCGCCTCGGCCTCGCAAAGCGCTCCTCGTCCAGTCTCATACCCGGCACAAAACCATCCGCATCAAGCACTCCAGGTCAGAAAGAAGTGTATCCCATTACCTTCCGGCATCTGGGAAAAGGTGCATATGAACTTCAACTGTATGCTACCTCCATCACCCAACGCAAAAAGTTTATTGAGCTAGTGGAAGAGCAGCAAAGCAAACTTCGCGACCGAAGCAGTGCCTTCTACACCAAGACCATCTTGTGCGAAGGTTTCTTCAATGCTCAGAATCGGGTCAACTGTCTAGTGCCAACAGATGGAGGTCGCAAGCTCATTTACGGTACTGATAATGGGATCTATATCGCTGATCGATGGCCAAAGGACAAGTCCGTCAAACCGAGGCGCATTCTCGACGCCACCCAAGTTTCACAAATCGACACGCTGGAGGAATACCGACTCCTCCTGGTGTTGTCAAACAAAACGCTTACTTCATATCCATTTGACGCATTGGATCCGAATAATCAGAATCCACTGGCGACAAGACCGCGCAAGATCCAGGGCCATTCCAATTTCTTCAAAGCTGGAATCGGATTGGGACGACATTTGGTGTGCTCTGTGAAGACGTCGGCACTATCCACTACCATCAAGGTGTACGAGCCTATGGACGATCTTACTAAGGGTAAGAAGAAGCCGGCAATCAGTAAGATGTTTGCCAGCGGCCAAGACGCTCTGAAGCCATTCAAGGTAGATACTGCTCGAATCCAAATGTGCGATAGTTGGGCGCTAACAAACCCTTCTAGGAATTCTACATCCCCGCCGAGTCGACCTCGGTACACTATCTGCGCTCTACACTCTGCGTCGGCTGTGCTAGAGGCTTCGAGGTTGTCTCGTTAGAAACCACCGAACGACAATCCCTGCTAGACCAGGCAGATACGTCGCTTGACTTTGTGACGCGCAAAGAGAACGTCAAACCCATCCACATCGAACGTCTCAATGGCGAATTCCTGCTCAATTATTCCGACTTTAGCTTTTTTGTTAACCGCAACGGTTGGCGTGCAAGGCAGGACTGGAAGATCACGTGGGAGGGAACCCCACAAGCGTTTGCACTGAATTATCCGTACATCCTGGCGTTCGAGCCGAGTTTCATCGAGATACGGCATATTGAGACGAGCGAGTTGATTCATGTGATGACGGGCAAGAACGTGAGGATGTTGCATTCGAGTACGAGAGAGGTAAGTCACGAACATTGGACATGCTGAAGAGAGTCATGCTTGTCCTAACGGCCTGTGCCTAGATTTTGTACGCTTACGAAGACGAGACCGGTGAGGATGTGATCGCTAGTCTTGACTTCTGGACCCAGGCTCAAGGTCAAGGTAGTTAGAGCTTGAGAAAGAATGGGTGGCCAGATTGGAAAACTTGCTGTTTCAGCTTTAGCCCTTTTGTATTTTGCTTGCTTCACGTATGGACGAATGGGCTACACGTCGAATTCATGAGGGCCTCGCAATGGACCCAGGAAAGGGAGTTGGAGACACCGATCTGGCGCCGACGATTGGGAACGGGACGGGACGGTATCGACATCTGTTCACACGTGAATGGAAAATGGGTGTCAACAAGCTTCCGCCGCGAGACGAAATGGGGAGACACGAGACACATGGACCAAAGGACGAAACCAGCCCTGAGTGTTGGGAGGAATCGACGAGCTGGATCGAGCTGCCAGAGCCCTTACAAGAAGGGTCCACAGAAATCCAAAGCGAGCTTTCACATGGAGATTGAGTGCTTTTCTTGGTCTTCTGCTTGTGGTCTTCCGCTGGTCTCGTAGGTGGCAAATGTTGTGATCCCCCTTCCGTCGCTCAACCCCTTCGCTTTCTGACGAACCGCGTATCGCTTCTGATGGATGCCATGTCGGCAAGGCTGGGTGCGCACTCTCAGCCCAATTGCTTGTGTTTGACGACGCTTGGGTGGGGGGCTTCATTATCGTGTTGGACCCCTCAACTTGTCCGATAGTTTTCTCGTGAAGCTGAAAATGGACAACAGTGGACAATTCTCAGTGAAACGATATTGACCAGAAGAAGCCTTGTCAGCGACGCCGGCTGAGATGCAGAACGTCTCGCACGTGAAGCTACCATCAGGACAGACCGTGTCTCCAGCTACGATTGTGCCCAGCCCCAAGATTCAGGCTCGCAGACAGCAGTGGAGGCGCGAGAACGACCGCAGAAGCAATCTCGAGTCTCGCTTGGTGTCTTGAAGCCGCCACCGGGGAACTGGTTGATCGAAATGGTCATGGAGCTCGCTGCACTCGTTGCTGCGGTGGCCTTCGGAGCCTACGCTGTCAGATCCGTGACACTCTTGACTTCTAGGGGAAATATATACAGCAGTCAGGCTCTACAGCAAGCCTAGACGCCGAACCAGCTCACGCTGTTCACGATCTGTCTTGGTAGCCCGGGAGCTGGGGATAAGGTGAGCAATTGGATCGTCAAAGGAACATGGGCAGACATCATGGCATGACAGAGTGACATGATTGCTTCCGTCTGCTCTCAGGTGCTCGAGGGCGCAGTGACGGTCGTCCCTGGTGCAGCTTCATTCCTCTTCTCTCGGGCTCCTTTCGAGACGACAACCTCTCCAACGATCGAAACTTCAACTCCTTTTCCTCCTGTATCCTTCCCCTCGGGCTCTGCATCTTCAACCGCGGTGACAGCAGGTGCCGTAGTGGGCTCTCTTGCTGTCTTGACCTTGCTAGCGGCCGTTTGCTGGATATGCTTCTTGCGGAAGAGGAGGTCAAGCAGGAGCGCCCTCCAGGGGTCTGCCATGACACAGGTGAGCGTTGGGGGAGAAACAGAAGCCCCAACGCCGCCGCTGCCAGTGCAAGACTCTGAACCAACGACCCCTGAACGCCGCCCACTTTCACATAGATTCAGACGGGTGGCGACTGGCTTCAGGGAGATTTATGTCGACTCCAGAGTCACAAACTGGAGGGAGTGACACAGCAGCAACAGAGAGAGCAATAAGACAGCTGGATATGGTGAATGACATGGTGACGATGGAAGATCCACGCGCAGCAGCAGGAGCAATCCCGGTTGTGGTCGCTTTCGTTGTAGATTGGCAGGCAGAGGAACCTAGAGTTCACTCGAGAACTTTTGAGCCGACCCGCCACTCCCTGAGAAACAGTCTGCCGTCCCAGGTGATTACAGCCATTGATCTGGTTGGGTCATTACCCGTTTATTCGCTTGCCCCCTGTACCTCAACTTGTCCTCGCCACATCAAAGCTGGAACTTCGTCCTCGTCTTCTCCATCTTGGCTTTCCATTCCCATTCCTGTCCACTTGCCCTTTGTATTCCCTTATCCACCCTCCTCAGTTTGAGCGTCATCCTAGGTCCCAGTTCCTGCAGTCCAGCTCTGATACCTTCCGTGCCCTTCATCTCCTTCCCATCCGCGCCGACGACGGATCTCTCCGTTTCCCGCTTTGCACGAAACATGTACCGATGGCGGCGTAGGAAGATGTAGTCACGCTGGTTGTGCAGCGTTAGTACCTGCCGGCCCTGCAGCTCCGGTGTGGCGGGGAAGAGAGAGCGGAAGAGCTGGGCCGTTACCAGGCCGAGCGGGGTTGTAAAGTTGTTCAGGATCAGTTCAGGGACGTGGTTTGTGGGTTGACCGTGGCCAGGGATCTGTTTGCCCGAATACCAATTCGAGATGGTGAAGTGGAATGTTGGACCCACGGGTAAATGCACAACGGTCATGCCTGAGGGCCTCTTTTGATTCTCTTCGAGGACGATGACCGAGGTGTATCCGTTCTTTGCCGCAAAGGCGGAGATTTCACGCACAGAGAACTTATACCCGTACCGGTGGGAAGAACGGCGAATGTACTTTGAACAAGGGAATAACGAGGTGAGAGTGGCAGCTTCATCGTGTAAGGTCGAGTTTATCGATGTGGTGATTAAAATTTTGGGTGGAGGTGGAGGAGGCGAGTCCGGGGACAAGAAGAGAGTCGGGAATTTCGCAGCGAGGGCCGCAGGGGCGAGAGAGAGGTTGGTCGAGGCCGTTGAACGGGTTGGTGAGCTTGCGCGATCTTTTAACCGAGTCCTTGAGTAGTTGAGCTGAGATTTCGAGGGCAGAGGGCCCTGGGTATTCTCGTCCAAATCTGCGCGTTCGAGATCGACCTCGTCGGGGTGACTCTCGTCGCCGTCGCTGTCCTCCAGCATGGAGTCGTGATCTTCATCGTCCCCTTCTTTTCCTGCCATGTCATCCGCCTCATCTACACCCTGCTGTAATTCCTGTTCCTCAGCCAACTTCCTTCTCTTCAGCCTTTCCACATCGTAGACCATCCCCAGGCCACCATCTTCAGGCTCGTACGCGATTTCATCGTACACCCGTTTCTTGTCCAGCGTAATAGGGACATTGCGCCGCAGCCGCTCTTCCCGCAACCTCGGGTTCTTCGCCTCTTCCTTTTTGCGACTGAATCTTTCGGCCCTTTTCAATGCATCTCGCGCACGTTTCTGCTTGATGTGGAGATCCTGCCTTCGCTGCTTGTTAGAAGTTTTGAAGGGGAGAGCGGCCTTGTCGGAGAGTCTTGTGGTTCGAGGAGGCATTTTGGAGGGTATGAAGGGTCTATGGAGGACGAGATATCCGTGCCAAGCTGAACCTCAGAGCATGGTGAAGAGTGACCGACGTGCCTCTGAGAAAAAAGTTGTGCGGAGAAAAGAGACTCCGAATGCAGCAAGGCTGAGGATCCCGCTGAGCGAGGCTGAGTGTGGCTGGTGTGGCTGCACGGGGCTGCCCCTCCGCGCTCTTTTGGAGGAAGTGGCGCTCACTCAGCCCCTGGAACGCAGCCGAACATTTTATTTTGGTCATTTCCCTCCGTGACTCCCACCACAGTGTCGAGTCATCGTTTCTTGCGACTCGTGTGTATCTACTCAGGAGGGTCCGTCTACGTCCCTTTCTTCTTTGGTTCTATGCGTGCTTTGGCTTGCCTTTCTAGAGCCACTTCGTTTCAGTCTCCTCGCTTTGCGCGACATTTCACAACTGCTGGGTTTGTCAGAGCAAAATTCCAGCCACCCAAACTAGACCTCAAAATGGCAGAAAGTACGACAAAGACTGGTCAGCCGCTAGACCGCATGGTCCTAGATTCTCTTCTGCGTCGAAGACTCTTCTACACGCCCTCGTTCGAAATCTACGGCGGAGAACGCGGGCTTTTTGACTACGGTCCACCGGGATGCGCGCTGCAAGCCAATGTGGTCGATCTGTGGCGGAAACATTTCGTCCTGGAAGAAGACATGCTCGAGGTTGATTGCACGATGCTCACTCCAGAGCCGGTCCTCAAGACGAGCGGTCATGTCGACAAGTTTGCCGACTGGATGTGCAAAGATCCAAAGAGCGGGGAAATCTTCCGTGCAGACCACTTGGTGGAACAAGTCCTCGAGGCGAGGTTGAAAGCTGATAAAGACGCACGCGGACAAACAGTCGAGGTTGACGAAGCTAAAGAAGCAAAAAAGAAGAAGAAGGTGAAGGACGCAAAGATTGAGAAACTCGATGATGCCCTCGTACAAGAGTATGAGGAGACCCTGGCAAAGATTGACAACTATGGCGGTGACGAACTGTACGAACTGATCAAGAAATACAACATCAAAGGTCCCTCAACTGGAGCAGAACTTGAGCCGCCTAGAGCTTTCAACCTCATGTTTCAGACCCATATCGGACCCAGCGCCGACAAACCTAATGGATATCTTCGCCCAGAAACTGCCCAAGGACAGTTCCTGAACTTCCAGAAGCTGCTCGAATTCAACCAGCAATCAATGCCCTTCGCGTCTGCCTCCATTGGGAAGTCATTCCGAAACGAAATCTCCCCGCGCTCCGGGCTTCTACGTGTCCGCGAGTTCTTGATGGCCGAAATCGAGCATTTTGTGGATCCCGAAGGTGGGAAGAAGCACTGCCGCTTCGAAGATGTCAAACACACCAAACTGTCTCTGCTGAACAGAAAGACCCAACTCGCTGGAAGCACAAAGATCGACGTAGTGACTATTGGCGAGGCCGTGGCTTCGGGGCTGGTGGATAACGAGACGCTCGGCTACTTCCTCGTGAGAATACAGGAGTTCTTGCTCAAGCTCGGTGTTGATCAGACGAAATTGAGATTTCGACAACACATGGCGAACGAAATGGCTCATTATGCTGCAGACTGTTGGGACGCCGAACTCTTCACTACGTACGGATGGATCGAATGCGTCGGGTGCGCTGACCGTAGTGCCTATGATCTGACTGTCCATAAGGAGAAGACTGGAGCGCCACTCGTTGTTCGCGAAACTCGAGCACAACCACTCATAGTCGAAGAATATGAAGTTGATCTGGATCGCAAGAAGCTTGGACCCAAGTTCCGCAAGGATGCGAAAGCCGTCGAAGTCGCAGTGGATGCTCTTTCACAAGACCTGCGTGAAAAGCTCGCGTTGGAGTTGGAGAAGTCTGGGAAGATTGAGATCGATACACCAGGAGTCGGAAGCGGAAGAACAGAACTTGACAAAGATCTGATCAAGATCGAGAAGAGGAAGCGAACAGAACACATTCGCGAGTACACACCCAACGTCATCGAGCCATCCTTTGGTATCGGACGAATTCTCTACAGCGTCATGGAACATGTTTTCTGGATTCGTGAAGGAGATGGTGCTCGTGGAGTCTTGTCCTTTCCACCCACGGTGGCTCCCACCAAGGTCCTCCTCGTCCCGCTTTCCGGCCATCCAGACTTCAAGCCCTTCATCAAGAAACTAACAGCCCGATTACGCCGGGTCGGAGTCTCCAACAAAGTCGATGACTCCTCTGCAAGCATTGGGAAGAGGTACGCTCGTAATGATGAATTGGGGACGCCTTTCGGCATTACAATTGATTTCCAGACAGTGAAAGATGGGACCTTGACGCTGAGGGAGAGAGATTCCACGAAGCAAGTGAGGGCGAGCGAGGATGAAATCATCGCAGCGGTAAAGGCATTGGTTGACGGGGAGGAGACCTGGGAAGATGTTGTCAAGAGGTTACCTGCTTTTGAAGGACAGGAACTGGAGTGATTGAGCGGAGACCAAGAGAGAGAATTAACGGAGCAACGGCAAAGACAACAGCTGGACCTCCATGAGATATTGTGTCTGTTCTTGAGATACCCCTGGGACCTTTGATGGTGCAATCTTTATTTTCCTGCTAGAAAACTAGATAGCACCTCGGAGATGATGGCCAAAGCACCGTGGCGGGAAATGCTAGGCCGTGGACTCCAACTTACGTGTCATTATGAGAAAATGTAAGACGACAAAGCCGTGTATCGCGCAAAAAAGAAACAAGCAATCTGGTCTTGTTGACTCTGTTTTACCTTTGTCCCAAATTATTCAGACAGTTGAAATGCTCCCTTTTCACCTTTCTTCAGCCAGCATAACCCGTTACACGCACCGATCTAGTGAACTAGTGCAGAAGGTTCATCGTCTTCTTCCTGGACAGCCTTCCTCATATCTGTCCGCCACACCTCGAAATACGGCCTCACCATCTCTACCGCCTTCTTCGGCGTCATATGGTTCAGGTCCCTCAAAAACCAATCGTCTTCCGCCGCCGTGTCCACTGGATTCTAGTGGACGCGGAGTTTGTTCTGCGTTGACGTGGGATCCACGAAGAATTGGAAGACCTTGCGGCGCGAGTCCGAGTAGGTGTTTAGTGTCCGAGCAGGGGGAAAGGAGTCCTTGAGGATCATGATCAGGGCTTCGGCACATGCCTCGGCGTCGAGCATACCGGTGTTGAGACCTAGTGCGCCGAATGGCTTAGGAAGGAAACAAAAGTCAGCCAGCATTCATTCGTCGATGGACAGACCTACTGGAGGAGGAATGGAAGTCGTCGAAGAACTCAGCTCACATGGTTGCAATGCGCAGCATCGCCGGCTAACAACACATTCCCCTTCCTCATCGTCGGCACAAGCCTCTGATGCGTCTTATATACCGACCTCGCCACAATGTCGACATCCAATGGCCTTGGACCTGGCATGCATCGTGCATAATGCGCATAAATGACCTCGTCCGTCAACAGCTCCTCGTCAGAGCACTTCTCCAACTCTGGGTCGGCCGCCAATGTCCACCTCCAGAGCGTCTTCTCCCCCATGACGGGTTCTTGCAGAGGAGTAGAGATGCTGAAGAATGTCGGATGCATGACGAAATGCGTATGCATCGGTGTTTCCTCGATGTTTTGGACCATCACGTTGGTGGCGATTAGTCGTTCGGGCCAGGTGTGGCCCGGGTAAGGGAGACCGAGTGCCTTGCGGGCCGTAGAGTGAGCACCGTCTGCTGCAACCGCGTACTTCGCTTCGAACTGGCGTTGAGCACCGGATATGGGATTGTACGTGAGGACCGTGACGCCGCTGTCGTCGTTGCTTTTTATATGTGTCAGTTCGTTGTTGAAATGGATCTGCACATGGCCCGTCTTCAGTGCCTCCCGCAGGAATAGGATATTGAGCTGTGCTTGTGGCAGATTCAGCAATGCCGAGCCCGGTTCCGTGAGATCATCATTAGGGGCACATAAAGGGAGGTTTGCGACGATGTCGCCCAATACCTTGCCACCTCGCCCTTCGTCATCGTCCTTGGGCGGCTTGCGAAAAGATAGTCCGCGAGTCATAAAACCTTCCGCTCTGATCAAATTGTACATGCCAATGTCGTTCAGCATGTGGTGTACGGCGCCGAAGTAGCCGCATGCACGAGGAGCGTTGCTGGTCTCGGGTAGCTTCTCGATGATATCTACATCGACCCCTGCCTGGCCTAGCTTGAGAGCCGTGAGACAGCCGACCACACCTCCGCCAACAATGAGGACAGCCTTTGAAGCCCTGGTGGTCTCGACACCAGCATTTCCGCCGACTGGCTCAGATGGACTCATGCCATTAGATGCCCGCTCATTAGGTTCAGCTGCCACCATGTTTCACAGCATCAACTTTGCTGTTGCTTTTTGGGATTGAGATGGGAGAAGACAACGAGACGAGCAGAGCATGCATGATGGCAGAGTGACGAATATATAAAATCTTTGATATAAAATGAAGTAATACGATCAGGCAAGCACAGATCTAGCGGTAGAGCTGTAGGGCTGTAGGGCCATGTATTGGCGAGCTATCCGCGATTCTCTCGTTTGATAAGGCGTGCAACCACGTGCATTGACGTGTCTGGACTCTGGAGTGGACATATCGATGCGACCGTGATATTTCCCTCGCAATGGGATGCGGATCGTTGGTCGCCTAGTCTTGGTTTACGACAGATCAGATCTGGGATCGTCGAATGGAATGAAGCTCTGGAGTCGACCTGAGAGGGATGTCAGCAGCGTGTCAGCATCACTTGCCGTGTCGTATTGCGGTCCCACTTGATGATCGCAACAGCATGGAGGATGGAGAGCAAATCGTGGGTGGCGGAAAGGGAAGGAGTTTCGAAACGGAGATCACGGCGAGGCTGGCATGTTTGGACTGGCGGCGGATTTGATTGGTGGAAGCGGAGCCTTGCGCGTGTTTACTTCTTGGCCGCTTTCGTCCTGGATCCCGCTCGGCCCGCTCTGACTTGTACATTGCACAGGAACCCTCGAGCCCTACACACAGAGCATCCTTGTCCTCGGGTTTTGGCCACATTGCCCTGGTGTCGCCCCTCTCATTTCTGAGAATGGCCCCCTCTTCTTCGCGCGATCCGACTGCTGCCTCACCCAACTCGTCGTCCTTCCTATCCTCAACTTCCAACCAAGTCACCGCAGGGTCGGTGCGAAGAAATCTCTTTTCCGCACATCTTTCGCGACGCCCAGCCTCGGGAGTACAACCGCAATCTCAATCAAATAGTCAGGCTCGACGACATGATTCACAGTCGCAAATCCAAGGGCAACAGTACGGTAGTAGCCTTCCACGTCTACGGGGTCATCAGCGTTCAGTGTCCACGCCGTCTCTCTCACCCTCTCCGCCACGGTCGTCTCCCTTTCATGATCCTCCGAACAACGGCACCAGCTCTACTTTCATCCCCCCTCCGATACCGCAACTATCACCTCCCCACCGCACAGCACTGGCAGATGGGTACGACCCTACAATTTCTCCCCATCGACCGATCAGTCCGCGATCGTCTGCAGCTCTCTTTCCAAATCAATCGATCATCGCGTTAAATCCACTTACAGGGCGTCCCGTCCTGCCGAAACTCCCCATACTCCCTGGCAGACTAAGACTGTCGGACTCGGACGATGGCCATGAAGGGGACCATGCAGAAGACGCCGAGGATGAGGAGGTGGCACAGGAGGAAGCCGGGACGCAAGAACGGGAATTGTCTGACGTTGAACTCCATGACCCTTCGGCGCAAGCCTATGCCAGGCACCCACGACGCCGAAGAGCGCGACGCCACGATCCCTATGACCATCACACGTCTCACATCGCGACCGCGGACCATGCTCACGCCGCCGCGATGGCCGCCGCAGCCGCCAGCGCCGAGGCCGAGGCCGAGGCCGAAGCAGACGAAGAACGACGGGACCGCCAACGCATCGAGAGACTGCTACGGGAAATGATGGCGAGACAACGCGCGCGAGCCAAAGGGAAAATAGCCAAAGTATCGAAGGTATCGCCCTCGCCGTCGTCTGAGGAGGACGAAGAAGCCGAGCAAGATGAACTGATGGGATTAATCATGGGCAGTCTACGAAGGGAAGTGGCCAGGGCCGACGTGGAAGCTTGGATGTTTGGCGAGCCCTTGGGAGTGGGAGGGATTGCGGGGAGAGACGAGGTTGCTGTGTACGACTAAAAGCCTCGTGGCCGTTCCAAAATCACAGGATCTCCTAAACTTTCTTTATTGGCGATGCCATGTATATTATATCACAGACGGGTCTTTTACAGGGGGCATGTTTTCACCATTATCATCATCGAGCCCAGCGTCCGGACAAGAGCTAAGGGACAAGGAAGGAGTTGTTGCGAAGGCGAAACGAGCGATCCTTGGCAGGATTATGAGATCAACGATACCATGAGTGAGGCACGACATGAGGGCCCTTGTAACCAATATATCGATACCGGACGCAATGCGTCCATCCCCAATATTTATTGATTTAACCGCAGTCATGGCCATGGAGTGGGAAGAAACAAGATCCAGTTCCACGGTGAGTCTGGTGTCCCTCATCGTCTTCTACTTTGTTTTCCTCTCCGTTACACTCCCCCGCTCCACTCGACTCAAACAGGCATGCGGGCACAAATTTATATTCACAAGTCGGAGTACAACTTCCCGCAATCGACCATAGGATGTGGAAACCAGGGCTTCCCGTTCGCTCAGCCGCACTTAAGCCACATACCGGCCAGTCAGTACTAAGGTGGGTGACCACTTGGGAATCCTGGCTGTTGATTGTTTTTGCCTTTTCTTTTTGTGTATCGATGGTGTCAATGATGGTGGCGATGGTGTTAGTTGTCACTCGCCGGTTTGCCTACGCTGTTTTCTTTGTTTTCGCTCTACTCTTTTCTATGAGTTTTTGCTTGTCGTCTTCTATTAGGTCTCCTTGCCGGTCTTGTATCGTTAGCGGCTGGTTCGACCCGGCAAATGGGGTGTTCTGTGTTATGACGGTGTGCAGTATGGACCGGCCCCAGTATTTGTCGGGTTAAAGGTACGGCGGGGTGGGGCGGGGCGGAGTGCAGCAGGCGGAGTGAAGCGAAGGCATGGGCGATGACAAACACTGGTCTGGTTCTGTACGGATCGATCTTTTTCACCAGGTATCAACCCAGATGACAGTACGAGTTTGCTTTCTCTCACCCTAATCATCACCTTCTTCACCATCTGCATACCAGTTCGCCGCCCAAAAGAGACGTCCGACTTCAATCCAAATCCATCGTCGGTGGCTTCTCGATCTCCTTCCTGGCTGCCGCACTACCACCTCCTGCAGGCTTCGGTGTGCCCGACCTCGGTGTTGCTGCTCTTCCCCCTGGCTGCTGCGCACCAAAAAGCATACTCCCCATCATATCGAATAAAGGATTCCCGGCGGTCTGCCTGGGAATTTTGATTCCGAACCAGATCTCCCCAATATTTGCCAAAACTTCGCTCCACAGCCCCTCAACCTCCTTCAGGTGCGTGGCGTAGAATTTTGCGAGTTGGCGGAATAAATTTGCGTCGGCTTTCTGGCAGCAGAGTAGTAGAAGCGAAAGGAAGTTTAGAAGAGGGATTGAAGGGAATATCCGTAGCGAGAGGCCAGATTTGGCTGATTCCAGGGGTTGAGACATTGACAGTAAGTTGGGGTTCTGCGTTGTGAGATGCGATGTGAACGCTGACAGAGCGAGATTTGCACTGGAGAGGTTGCCGACCAACAAGTAGGGGAGGACGGAGCGGGAGGCGTAGATAGGTGCAAGGTGCGGTTGGTCCAGCTTGTACCAGATGTAGTGTAAGCTGGCAAGGACAGGGGGTGAGGCTGATGTGCCAATGACAAGATGCCGTTCAGCGTCGTATGCTTCACCCTCTATAAATCCCCAAGGTTGTTAGTGAACTGGAATAACAATTCACGGAGAATCGGTTTGCCTGGTTCCAAGGAAGAAAGTCTCGTCTTGCTCACCTTCCGCCAGCACCTTGCCCACTTCATGATGGATCTCCGGATCCCCCCTCTCCAAGTCCCCAAACTTCCCGCTCCAATTCACCATCTCGCTCACAAACCTCTTCCGCGTGGGTTCCTCCTTGGGGAATGCATGGAAGATCTCCAATAGCCTTTTTCTATTTTTATCGTCACACGCGTATTCACCTTTAACGTAGACATCGTTCAGTAACATGAGTGCCAGATCGCCGCCTGAGCCACCCTGATCCGCGTGGAGGAGAAGAAGGGCGCCATTGTACAGGACGTCGCAGGCGGAGTTGTAGTCGGAGGCTTTGAGATAACGAGCAGTGATGACCCGGAGTTGCTGGTGCGCTTCATAGAAATTTCCTTCGGCAATCCTGGGAGGCACGTGTTAGAAGCCTCGAACGTGAAGCGTGAAGCGATGACTCCTGACTGCCTGCATGTGCGGTGGGTTGGCTGAGGTGGGGGTACCGAGCTCAACAGCAATCTGATCACGTCAAGAATTTCACTTACTTTTCCTTTTGCCGCGCAATGGTCTTTGCTATCTTGGCTGACATGATGACGAAGTGGGATAAACAGATGAGGGACAAAGTGGTCTAGGTCTCGAAATGGCAGTCTATTAGTACTTCGTACTGAGTAGAGTCTCGGATTGAGGTTTGGCGGGTTTGCAGATCAGGTCGACGTCATGCTGCTCGGAAAGCTTGGCAGCCTTGTCCGCGGGTCCAGCCTTGCCTCAATCAGCCATGCACCATCTTTGAATTCTCCTTCTACTGGAAATCTGATGCGCTGAAGGTTCCCCAAGTGGAAGTAAATCATCATTGTGCGGAATTCCGGAGCATGGCTAAATGCTCAACGCGAAACCGCAGTGCTCGATATGTGTGTTGCAAGGAATATATGGAAGAGGGGATTAAAAAGAAGAACATCCCCTGTTGACCGACAAACACTTCATGACCTCTCGACACTGCCTGGCCGTGAACTGACCCCGCAAAGAGCTCGCTTCTAGGAAAACAAGCAAAAGAAATACCGGCCATCCCAACGAGTGTTTTTTCCCCGGTGACGAACTCCGTGTATCATGCACGCTCAAATCGACAAACGTAAAAAGCGAAAGGCTTCGACTCCCACCAAGCAAGGACTCAGATATGGGAAGCAAAATTCCTCCTCTTGTCTCCCAACAATAGAAGATGTTATTTTATGCTGCCTTTTCGTCCTCCTCTGCCATGCTTTCCAAACTTCCCCCACCTCCGCTGGCATTACTTCGACTACTCTTGTGGGTTCTTATATTTGAGCCTTGACTCGAACCGCTTCCTTTTTTGGGCGTCCCATTTTGCACCGGAGTTGATGTTCTCTCGGTGCTGGCGTTGGTCGTTGTCGCCGCCGTAGTTGTTGTTGTTGTGGTGGTGGTGGTGGTGGTGGTAGATCCACTGCTTGTTCCACCGTCCTTGTCCTTCTTTGTAGTCGGCGGCGGCCTCGAGAACATGGCTTTGAGCGCAGCCTTTGCTTTGGCCTTTTCGTCTTTTTCTTCGGCCGCCTTCTTGGCTGGGTCTTCAGCAGCCTTGTCAGCGGCATACTGCTTCCACTTCCGCCACCCATCATAATCGATCAATGCTTGCATACAGCCCCATTCAGTGACTTTGCGCTCCATCCATACAAAGTTGACCGGCTGTGTGCGACGGGGTCAGCAAGCAGTAAAAAGTTTGAGGATCGTCTGGAATACCTGCCTTTGTCAAGAAGTCGTTACAGCCAGCGGCCAAGGCTTCGTGCCGGTCACTCTGCAAACTACTGGCAGTCAAAGCCACAATGATGACGGGACTTTTGAACAAGCTGCGGTCAGGTAGGGCATCCGCCTCGCCCACAGGACCGCCATTCATCTGGGGATTCCTCAGGGCGGTCTCGATGGGGCTGCCACTGAAAACGCCAATGCCATTCACAGCCTCGAGTCGTCGGATCTCTTTGGTGGCCTCCAGGCCATTCATTACCGGTAGCTGGATATCCATCAAGACCAAATGAAATCCACCTGTTCTCCACATAGCCACTGCTTCCTTTCCATTCATGGCAGACTTCCATCGCACCTTCAGGCGTTTCATAAAGGCCTCAAGCAATTTCAGGTTGATGACGTTGTCCTCCACCAACAAGACATTGATGGGAGGGACTGTTCCGTCCAACAGACTTGCGGCAGCAGGCAGAGACTTAGGAGGAGCCTGTGGATCACCGTTGACAGACCGGCCGAAGGCAGGAGCTTTCCGCCTCCTGAGTTTCTGCCCAGGATGTGGAGACGAGACTCGATTGGGAGGCGTGATCGAGGGCTTGTGTTCGTTCGGGCCCTGAGTCGGAGGGGTAGGAAGAGGGGCTGCCGAAGGGGCGGGCCCATTGAGCTGTGCTTTAGATTCTGTACCCAAAAAAACAAGAGCTGAGCATCCTCCCCGATCTGGCCGCTGGGTCATGCAAACATACCTAAAACTTGACCATTCGGCTGAACGGTGTGGAGAATGGTTGGACTGCTCGTGTGCTGCCTTCCATATTTTGGCCTTGCGTGCCTTCTCTGGCCGTGGGAGCCGGGACTAGGTAGAGGGGGCAGCTGACCAGTGGTCAAGACGGCCATGGAATGGGAAACCGAGTTGGGATGAGGGACGTGAGCAAGGTGAGGAGAGTGGAGTGGCATGGGAGGAAAGTATTCTCGAGCGGCATCATCGGGACGGTATTGATCGGTATAATAGTAGGAGATCTGATGGTTTCCAGCGCGAGGAGAGGCGCGGGGAGTTCTGCGGGAAGCTACCTCAATAATGAGAGCTTCATCGACCTGTTGGCCGCCGGGATAATATGCGTCGAGGGTGGCGCCAATGGGCTCCTCGGGACCCAGGGGACGCTCGGGGCTCACATTTTTATTGTTGTGTTCGCGGCTAATGATTTTGAGCGTAATGTCTGGGGCGTCGATGGTGCGACCGAGGGAATTGGCGTATTTTTGTAAGATGACATCGCGCACGTTGTCAACCAGGTCGTCTTCGGCGACTTCGACTCGGGTCGGGGAAGCACCGGGTCGTTTCACCCATATTTTTCTCTGCATAGCGTCGAGCGTCTCATGTCGAAGGCATTGTACAGAGGCGAGGGTCGGGATGGTCGGAGTCGAGGGACGCTGGACGCGGACCACGGGGCAGACGGGCTGGGAGGGCGGGGGAGTTGTGGCAGGAGCCGGAGGAGGAGGAGCGGCGGCGGCGGCAACGGTAGCAGGAGGAAAAGGAATTTGGGTATTCGGATTATTGACTGACGGCGTGGTGGGTAGGGTGTTTGAGGTCGGGATGTAGGTATTGGTGTCGGCGGTGGTATTGGATGTGTTGTCTGGGTGAAGAGAAGGAGAAAGTGAAGCAGGAGCCGCAAGGGACACGGTGGGTTCGGGGTTACTAGGGTCAGGCTCAGGCTCGAGCTGGGTGGGTGTGGTGGGTGGAACTGTGGCTGGTGAGGCGGTGGTCTTGGTGTCGCCAGTGTTGTTATTGGGCGGCACCAGCGGCAGCGGCAGATCCTTGGGCTCACTAGGCTTCAAGCTCTGGCTGGGGGCGATTTGGGCCGGGACGGTGTTGGCTCGCTCTCGACTGGGGTCGTCTGGGTCGTCTGGAACAGGGACACTGTTGCGTTTGCCTTCGGACTTTGTGCGCACCCGACGATGGAAATTGAAGCTGGCTAGGGTCGACAGCGTGGGAAGACTGAAGCCGCCGGACGAGCGTTGACGGGGATGGGCATCATCTTGACCGGGTGAGCTGGGGGCGCTGACATCGGGGTCTGTGGTAGCGGCACTGGCACTCAGACTGCGAAATAGAGGAATGCGCGGGCCTGAACGAGGTCTCGATAACGGCATCGGGGAGGACTAGTCAGAGCTGGGTTAGGGAAGGACAATGGCAAAGGCGGTGGTGACCCCCCATTCCGAGTTGTCATGCCCTCGGTCGGTTCATTGGAGGAATAGAGCACAAGAAACAGAGACAAGAAGAGAGAAGCAGGGAAGAGGAAGAAGAGGAGGAGGAGTTGATGATTTGTGGCTAGTGAAACTAAGACAGAGAATGGAATGCTGGGGTGAGAAATTCCCTGAGTTGTCTGTCGGTCTGTACGGGTGCCTGGGTGTTTTGAGAGTTGCTGGAGCTGGCACTGGAGCTGGAGCTGGAGCTGGCGCGGGAGCTGGCGCGGCCGGAGCAGCAGCAAAGAGTAGGGGGAGGATGGAGCAGCGACCGCGTGTCGTGGGAAGTGATGGATGTTGACACCCATGTGTGACTGATTTCTATAGCAGCAGCCACGGCAGCGACAACAGCAGGACCGAGTAGATGGAGCGCGTCTCGCTGGCAACCCCACCGCCGAGTGACGGCGCATACCGCCTCAAAGCATGCAGCTCAGTGTCTAATACGAGGTACGGAGCACCGCTAACCACCTCACCACCTCACCACCTCACCACCTCACC